TCTCTCTCTCTCTCTCTCTCTCTCTCTCTCTCTCTCTTTCTCTTTCTCTTTCTCCCTTTCTTCTTTTCAACTTTTTTGTTTTTTTATTCTCCTTTTGACGCAGGCTGATAGGTCGGAAGAGACTAACGACCCGCGTTCTTTTAAAAAAGCCAGAATGTTGCTTGAAACCTGTACGTGTATGTACATTTATATATCTATATGTGTGTGTATATGTATCTATGTGTGTACCGTTACTATGAAAGTGAAGAGAGGAAATGAGAATTGCAGTAGGATTTCCGTAAAGTCGTGAAACAATAACGTAACAGGCGGTGCTCGAGACAGTTAATGGATGGAAAGAGCTCTTGTACGCATATACACACATACACGTGTTTGTATGCTGTAAAACGTATCGTCATATATATTAATTTTATTTTTTTTGTATATATCATATATTATTATCATTAGATATTACTAAATTCGAATTTATTCGTTGAAAATTAAAAAGAGACTTGTACATTATTTTAATCAATTAGACGGATCAAATAAAATTTTCTTAAGAAATTCTAATAATTAGAAATAAGCATTGTCTTTATTTAAATGTAGAAATCGTTATGGTCGTTCAACTTCTCGAAATCGTAGAACTCGTAAGACTAACTCTTAGATATCTCAGTAACGTTGAAGATATACGAGTTTGGGGTTAGGAACCCGTCTTGAGTTCGGAATCGAAATCACCTGTAAAATTTATCCTCGGTCAATTCGACGTTAGCCAAGCCATCCTCGAAATCTCTTGATAGCGAAGCTTTCGCCTTCTCCTTCGCAAATATCCTTTACCTACCATAGCGTTAATCCGATTGTTATCGAACCGTTAGATTTTCTCAAGATGAGAAAATTATTTCTAAAATTACAATTTGATTTCTATACATATTCAAACTAATCAAACACATATCGTTTTCTTTTTTTTATTAATTAATACAAAAAAGAAACGGATGAGAGGGGTGGATGTGAAAATAAAAAACAAAACAATATGATCGGTCATAATGGATGATTAATGATTGTTGTCACGATTAGGAGATATCGTGTTATTTCATAGTTAAGCCGCTTTCGTAATTATAGAACAAGAATAAGAAGAAGAAGTGAGAGAGAAATGTTGACAAGAAAGAAAAAATCTAAGGAAGTCAGAAAAACCAGTCTAAAACGTTTGAAAAATATTGTCTAACTTATAAAATAGTAAATCGTATACGCGACGATGACAACAATTTTCCATCTATGTCTACATTTCTCGTTCTCCGTAGAAGAAGGAAGGAAGAAGAAGAAGAAGAAGAAGAAGAAGACGATTCGTATCCTTCTCAAGGACATTTCTTTCACTGTAGGAAGGGGCCTCTTATCACCAGTGATTACGAGTTTTTAACGGGGATTTCTTCCAGCCTGCGCCCCTCTCTCCCCAGGTCTCCTTTCTATCCACTTCTTACTCCTCTTCTTACCCTTTTTTTTTTTTCTTATCTTCGAACGTTTCTCGTTTCCTGCCTGACTTAAAATCCACCTTTCGAATCTTTCTAACGCTCGTAAACGGATTTTTTTTTTACTTTCCTTCTCCTTTCTCGTTCTTTTTCGTTCTTTCTTTCTTATTTTTCACATGACAAGACACCTTCTTGACGCATAATCGATTCGCAAGTTATAAGAATGGGATCTTTGCACAGGTGGTCTTCCTCTTTTTTGATAGAAAAATTGTAACCTTCATTTTTCTACTTTTTTCTTTTTTCGTTTTATCTTCTATTTTCTCATACTGATTTTTCTCGACCGGAATTCCATAAGAATTATGTTCGTAAGAGGAGAGAGCAATGTATTGGTGGTGGTTGGTCGATGGTAAGATTTGTGCAATTTTAACCTTCTATAACTTTACCACTTCGCAGTAGAATAAAACGATAAGGGGTAGTCGAATAAAAGTCATACTTACAACCGTACGTGTGTATGTGTGTGTGTGTGTTTGTGTAAGAGGAAGAAAGAAAGAGAGAGAAAGTTTCATCGAGTTTGCATCCTACTATTCCTCATGCATGTAGCATATAAAATGTCCATGTAGATGTAATACTGTCCCCCTTGGAGAAAAATAAAGAAACGTTTATCTCTCTTCTTCTTTCAAAAACATAGTTTTGATTTCAATCCGATATGACACAAATCGTCCGAACGATCTTCATATTATTATTATTATTATTATGATTATTAATATTATTATCAGAAGAAGAAGAAGAAGAAAAAGATCGTTTAAATTTTTAAAAAGTATTCCGATTTAATCTAACCGAGATACTCTTTCGTTTTAAAAATATATTCAATTTTTCAATGAGATAGAATTCTATCTTGTATAATACGAAAATAACCCCGCTTGTGTTCTTTCTCTCTGAAGCGTCTCCTGCAACACTGATCGAGTATTTCCGCTCAGTGGGAATTGAAAAATAATCAGCCGCGTAGCGAGAATAAGCGAAGTTTCGATCGAAATTCCACAACCTCCGTGTGCTCGTAAATTTAAATGAACGCACCTATAAATTATTCCTTAGACGAAGATTTTTTAAGAGAGAAAAAGACAAAAGGGATAGGGGGAAAAAGAATGAGAGAAAGAAAGGGAGAGGGAGAGAGAGAGAGAGAGAGAGAGAAGAGAGAGAGAGAGAGAGAGAGGGATAATGTCGATTTAGTTTAGCTTTTTCTCTTTCTTTCTCTATTTTTTTTTTTATATTCTTATCTTCACCTTTCTTTCTCTTTTCCCTTCTCCTACATATTATAGTAGTATCTCTTAACCCATATAAAAATTTAATTACACTCGGTATAATATTTATCCTACTGACCAAAGAACATTTAGTGATCAAAGGAATTTTTTTCTGTTTCAGTTCCACCAAACATTGACGATTCGCAGAGTTCCTCAGACGCGATTGTAAGGGAAGGTGCAAACGTGACTCTGACGTGCAAAGCAACTGGAAGCCCAACACCCAGCATCCGTTGGAAAAGAGATGACAATTCCAAGATCACGATCAATAAGAGTCTCTCCGGTTAGTATTTTTGTCTATTTTCTTTTTTCTCTTCTTTATTTTTTTATATTTTAACGATAAAACATTGAAAAAATATTATACACAATTATTCACACCTCATATCCTACACGATCGCGCGGCACGCGTGAATATGTTTGTTTTTTCGAGATAAAATCAATTATTTGTTATTTTAAAATAATAAATCATTTATTAAATTAAAGAGAGAGTATTGTAGAGTAATGCACGCGTATACTCTACTATATTTGCATCGATTCGTTTCGATCCATTTGTCTCGAATGTTATTTCAAAACGTTCCTCATATTCACTCCCCATCGATTTTATTTTCATTCTTTTCGAGCGAATATTTTCCCCTTCCTCGTTCCCTAAAAAAAAACAAACAAACAAAATAGAAAACTCATAGGATCTCAAAACTGAAAGCCACATTTATTTGCTGCTGAATAATCTCTAGATGCGCTACACTTCGAAAAAAAAAAAAGAAAAAGATTAAAAACAAAATCACACACAAATAAATACACAAGTGTACAAGCGTACAAGGTACGCGTTAAACTAACGCACACGCGCGCGCGCATATAGAAGAAGTGAACTTGTGTTATAGCTTTAAACGTTTTTAAAAAATCCAGTGGTTCTGCGTAGTCGTTTACACGAATTCGAGATATTTCAACCGGAATTTCGGCTTTGGTTGATCCGTCAGAGGAAAGCTAGCATTTACTTTCGAACGACATAAAAGAGAAAATGTTAGGTAGGTAGGTAGGTAGGTAGGTAGGTAGGTAGGTAGATAGGTAGGTTTTAGGTGGTACTGCTTTTCGATAAGTTCGACGACCTCGGCACGTATGTGCGGCAATTAAAAATAATGACACTCGCCGTTCTCAAAGATAAAATATGGAATGTTCGAAAAAAGAAGAAAATTTCTCCCCCTTCGGTAGGAAGACTCAGCTTTCTCCTCTTTATCAACGTCGAAAATATATCGAAACTAGAGAGAGTGAAATAGAAGAGAGGGAGTGAAATAGAAGAGAGAGAGAGAGAGAGAGAGAGAGAGAGAGAGAGAGAGAGAGAAAGAGAGAGAAAGAGAGAGAGAGAGAGAGAGAGAGAGAAAGAAAGAGAAAAAAAATGTAATTTGACAGGCAACGTGATATATATAATTATCTTCGCTAATGAAGCCGGCAACATATTTCGTTGGAAACGTCAATTATCTGCGAATATTTTCTTCTTAACTAACAGAGTGAGAAAGAAACATAAAGATAGACAGATAGATAGGGATAGTGCGTACGTCTGCATACTCGCGTGTGCGAATGTGTATATGCATGCGTGTGTGTCTGTATGGGTAAGAAAGTGAGGATGTAGTGATGAGTGAGTTGATTAAAACCGACATATAGTATATGGCTGGTAGAGTACGTTTTTTTTCTTTCTATCCTTTTTATTGTATTTTTTATTTTTTATACCTTGAATCTGTGAAAAGTCATGAGCAAGAGAGGGGAAAAAAGAATGGACAATTATCGTCGTTCCAGAAGGTATCAAATTAACGTTTAGCTTCTGTCGTTCTCTGTTTCTCTCTATCTCTCTATCTATCTCTCTCTTTCTCTCCCTCTCGTTCTTTGGTGAAAACTTATCGCGGTGGATTTAATCGCTCTTTAAATTCCAATTACAGTGCTCGAGTGGGATGGCGAAACGCTAGAAATGGAGCGCATTTCTCGACTAGACATGGGCGCCTATCTCTGCATCGCCTTCAATGGTATTCCGCCTACGGTCAGCAAACAGATCAAGGTGTCCGTTGATTGTAAGTAACACCCTTTAATTAGTTTCATTTCTTTTGTAATTATATCAATTTTTCTTTTTTTATGTTTTTCTTTGCTCTCTTTGTTTCAGTTGTATATATTTATTGTATTCACAATTTTTATCATGAACAAATTATTCTTCACGTTTTAAGCGATTCAATTTTATACATTTTTTATACGATCACTTGACAACATTATTTCTCCCTTTACGTCAGAGTTGCGTCGAGGTCTTATTCATTTATTAGTAATTATTCATATTATTTTTAACTTTTTTTTTAGTAATTGTAATTTTATATTCTAGATTAAATATAGAAAGTAGTTGGATCAATTTTTTTAATCGAATCAATGAAGATTAATTTTTTGAATATGATCATCATGTTCGAGGAAAGAAATTTTAATCTACAAACGTATTGGATTTCTCTACTCATATTTAATAAAGAATTGACGTATTTATTTCTACACTAACGTTGATAATTACAAATTGTAGGGAGTAAGAATTTACGGTATACGTGAGTAGAGTTTCTTATTACTAACAGCACTATTTGAAGAATATGTTTGTACGGTTTTGAAAATAACGCTTATATTCTACACGACTTCATTATTTCCAATAAATTAACAATCATTAATCTTCTATAAGTAATTTTTTCGTCTAACTTATATTATCTAACAATAACCTATACATACAAATATATGAAATAATACGATTAATATTTGATTACTAAATTATAATGTTAAATTAAATATAAATGAATCTAATTATGTAACTTTAAAATTATGGTGGGTTGCAAAAGGTAAATAAAAATGATTACACCCATATTTACACTCAAGCTCATAAATCCAGTGAAAATCGTTCGAGATACTCTGGTAAAAATCGATCTTTTAAACTAACTTTATGTGACTTGAATCATGTAAAAGTTAGGGTAGGGCAGAGAGTTGTTTCGTTTCTTTCATTCGTGAAAAGTGAATTTTTGGTGCACGTAGAAACTGTAGGTAAGTAAAGTAGTAAATAGTAGGGAAGAAACGGAAACTCGTCCCTTATAGGAACAAAATAGAATTCGTGACAAGGTATAAATGTCTTTCTCTCTCTCTCTCTCTCTCTCTCTCTCTCTCTCTCTCTCTCATACACATTCTCACTCTCACTATCACTCTTTGTCGAAGCTCTCGCAGGCTATTGCTTCTGGGTTGCGATGCACCAGCAACGTTCTGAACGAGAGAGAAAGATGGAAAGATAGATAGAGAAAGAGAGAGAGAGAGAGGGGGTTGCTTGAAGAACACACAATTTAATAATAGAGAAGGGAGCTCGGCGACAAAGCGAGGCTTTGTCGGCTCGTTTCTCCATTTCTATCTCTCTCTTTCTCTTTTACGTTTCACGAAATAGAACACGGTTGTCGGGCAAAGATAGAGATAGACAGAGAAGGGCTCGGAAGTGCCTCTGGTGAGACATAAAAGTAAGCTCGGGTGAACCGCGACACACCATTACCGTTTCCACCCTCTGTAGTGGCCTATTGTTACGTTACTGCCACTCCTAAATATCAGGCGCGTGCCTTTTCTTCGCCTACTTCCTGTTACTGACTTTCTTTCTTTTCCTCTCTCTTTCTCTCTTTCTTCTAATACTTTCTCTCTTACTTCATCTAGTTCTTCTTTATAGTAACGTGTACTCACCAAAATATGGAAATGTGTATCTATAACCAAGGGTTGGAGATTCATCAGTAAGATCGTTCCGAAATTAGACATTAGTATATTCTACTAATTTCAATACTGCTAATATAGTAGAAATTATGTTAGACCAGTTAGAATACATTAGGACATTTTTTATTGTTACTAAATAATTCGTATCGTCGATTTTCTGCAAGGAGAACATTTGGAAAAAAAAATTTTCCAGTCGTACACATTTTTATTTATTTTTTATTTTTCGGTAGTAAAACGAACAAATATCTTTTTCATGGTTTTTATCAGAATTTCAATTTTATATAACATTCAACGAAGGAAAGAAAATCTAATATTCTACCAGGATAGAAATATTTAATACTTTTACTTGAATACACTTTCCGACTAAATGTAAAAGATTCATAAAAAAAAAAGTATATACATATATAAATTTTCTATGTTCTACTCTTACGAATGTACGCAAAAATGTTATTAAATAAAAGTTCACTTAAACAGAAATAATATAACATTATCATATTCACACACATACACACACATGTATACACATAATAAACTATTACGAAGCAGCTTAATCGAAAAAGAGAAAAAAATTTAAAACTCTTTCAAAGAGATTTTCAAATACCACAAGGGATAGTAAATACACACAGAACGTCTTTTCTCTCTTCTTCTTCTTCTTTCTTTCCCTCTCTCTCGCTCTCTCTCTCTCTCTCTCTCTCTCTCTCTCGCTCTCTCTCTCTCTCTCTCGCTCTCTCTCTCTCTCTCTCTCTCTCTTTATCTATCTATCTCTTTCTCAAAAAGCAACGAATTATCTCTGTAGTTAAAACGAGGCTAATTAATTTGGCGACGTTGCGAGGAAAGGAGCGTTGAATTACGTTCGCTGTGTGTTCCTGCTTGCTCATTTTGCTACTTGAGAGGATGAGAGGCGATGGTGAAGGTGTAGGTGGTGGAATGGGGGTGATGAAATGATGGGAGGAAGGTGGGATGGGAAACGAGGGATAAAGAAAGAGAAAGAGGATTGTTTTTATACCATGAAGTCTTTTCCCCATGGAGATGTGAACTCGAGGCTTGTGCTCGTGAATGCGCATGCGCTCCCAACCACCTGGATCATCCTTTTAGGCGTTCGCTTAATTCTATTCGAAGCCGTACGCTAGCTAAAGGCTTTTGTCAACGGGCATTACACGACCGCTTTGAAGTGAAATTGCGATCGAGTAATGCAGTACCAGCACCAGCACCAGCACCAGCACCAGTACCAGCACCTACACCTGCACCATCAACACCAGAAGCAGTAGCTTTGCGTCCACGGAATGCATTAGCAAGTTCAGATCAAGATTACTCGATTAAATTAACTGGACAAAAGTTCGATATTAATCTTTTCTTTTGATTTTCTTTTCTTTTTTTTCCTTTTTTTCTTCGCTTTTTTCCCTTTTTTTTAATGCGAAATTAGATATTTTTTTATTTAGCTTTTCTTTTTTTTGGGGGGATCAGTTTTTTTATCTACCCAACGAACTTGCTCGATTATTCTAACTTTAATCGTTTTTTAGACTATTTCAAATAACACGTTTTGTTGTATTTTTGTATATTAGGTAATATTTGATAATTAGTTTTGTACGTATAGTATTTTTTATTTATCCTATTATATTAGAAGTAAATTATAAAATTGTTCCGTTGTCGGGAATAATTTTCTTTTATTTTCTTTATCGTTGTTATTGTAATAATTATTATCCTCGTAGGAAATAATATTCTTATCTATTTCTATAGAAATTAAACAGGTTATGAGGGCTTGGTTGATATAATCCTTTGAGCAGCGAATAGCTTTACCTAACTAATTACTGAAACGTCATAGAAGTAGCAACAAATGGGCAAACAAGAACGTATTAAAATATCAAGACCAGACATAAATTACCGACAGTTGTAGTTCACTAATTTAACGTTGAAAATTCTAAATGTAGAAATACGTCATATCAAAGTTTTACGCAAATAAAGTATTAAAATTGTTTTAAAGAAAATCTTTCATTTCTTATATTATACTTGTAAAAATAAAAACTTTTAAATAGTATATACATCTTCAAAAAGTAATCCAAAATGAACGTTCGATGTTAATCCATGTTGGAGTGGCATAAAACAAAACAAAAAGTCTTCGTGTCGTTATTTCAGAAAAATAAAAGGAGGAGATTAAAAAAAACGAAAGAAAAGAAAAAAACCATAGAAATATACGTGTGCCCCGGCAAAAAAAGATTAAAGAATATTTCCGAGCCTTATCAAGATTTAACATCGAATCTTCTTTCTCATGGACTTTATAAAACTTTATGTATAAAATGGGGCGGGGGGGGGGAGAAAAAGAAAAAAAAAAAAAAGAGAAAGAAAAAGAAAAAGAAAAAGAAAAAGAAAAAAAGAAAGACAGAAAGAAAATTCTCAACTTGTTCTATCGAGGACTCTCTCTCGCCGAAACTTTTCATCTTAAATCCATGTGATCGAAGTTTTTCGAGTGTAGATCCTTCAACGTTTCAACGAATGTAAATTCTTTCGTCTACCTATACTTTAACAAGAAAAAAAAAATAAAATAAAAATAACAAAAATTAAAATGAACATATTACAAAAAGATCTTAATCTTCGTGTTACGAATCGAAAAGATTACCGAAACAAAAATAATTTTTTGTTTCTTTTGTCACGATAGTCACGATTTCACGTTCGTTCCCTATTCTCTTCTTGAATTCATATGCGCTCTTGTAACATAATCGATAAATCTATAAAACTGTTGAGCTTTTCCAGCAGGTGCTGATGGTGGGAGAAGATCATAAAAGCGACAGAATTATCAAATTAAAGCGAATAATTCGAGATAGGGACGGAAAGTGACCGACATCGTTCTCGTGCGTGCGCACACACACATCTTGCACTTTTTTTAACGTTCGTACCAACGTAGGAAGAGATTAATTAAACGTCTCGACAGATTAGACTCATCTCTGACAAGGCCTTCCTTCCCTCCTTTCGCACCCCGATGACGTTACAACTTTACGACCTAAAAAATCTGCCACTAAGCGATCTCACCTTTGTCTACTCTTTCTTTTTTCCTTCTTTTTCTTTTACTTTTTTTACTAAAGTGTATCGTAGAATTTTTTTCTACAAGGATAAAATTGACATAAACGATAAAAATAATATTATGTTTAACAATAATGTGCATGGTGATTTTTTTTATGTCGCAGTTATTAGAAAATTATTTTTAATTTTTATATTTATATAACGCGAAGACATTTTTTTTTTTATATATATATTTTCTTTCTTTTTATGTTTAATTCACGTAAATTGATTTTTTAGATTTTACAAACAATTTGAGATG